ATTATATATTAACTATAACAAACCTGGTACACAACACTAGTAACCGTCAAGGGATTACCCGATTTTTACCATTCAAAATCGCAAGCTCATGATTTACAGAGTAACCCTTTTTGCATCGCATTAATAATTTCATAAACATACTGTGATAGTCTAATTTGCAATCAAGTTCATTGGTAACACTTTTTTCCAAATGTAAAAGAAAACCGAAAGTAACCCATTCCTCTTTCTTGACTCGGAGAGAGAGTCCGTACGCCTGCCTCCAATAGGGGTAACAGAGTTTCTGATTCCCTAGGGTACCACGAGACGACTCCCTCTCCAACGACTAGCAGCAGAAAAACATGTTGACTAAAATTCTACCAATATTTCGTACTATTTTTGTAACATTATAAACATTCAAACTACCGATAAAACAAATTATGTTAACTCGCGACAGGCAAAGCACTATTATTCTCATCATTATTCTAATAACTGCTATTCTTATTATCACTATTACAATTATTATTAATACTATTGTTATAATTATTATTATTATCATTATTATTATTGTTATTATTATCATAACTACCACAACATATTATAATTATAAAATATAACGGCAGTAGCCACCGTTTTAGCGTTCAAGTAGTAGTATTAAGTGATAAATCACCAATCGTTTATTCACCCAAACATCAATCGAATTGTTCAGCAATTTTCACCGCTCTTTTTGCAACAAGTTTAGTTGAACAAACGACCGGTGTTTAGCATCAGTAAATATTAATAATATTCTGTCTTAATGTTAAGGTTAAATCATATTGAAACCCTGTCAACTTCATATGTAAAAGGGAAAGAACGGACATGAGCAAATAAATCTCCTTCCCTTCTCTTAGCGCAAAGAGGAGAGTGAACCAGATATGGAAAGTGCTAATTTCTGAGTGGCTAAACTAGAGCAGTTCTAGCCAATTGGATTTTTGGATGTTGTCATTTTTGCAAGATTTTACCTCGGCAAGCTCTACTGCGTTGTTATCAAACCAGCGCGTCACCGAGGTCCGCTACTCCTTATAAAAAGGCCCAGAGACTCTCTTAACTACTACCCCTCAAACGGTAGACTGAGTAGTTAGAGTCCGCCTCTGCTACCTCCCAGTCTACCATGAGGTAAGGACACAGTTAATTTTTGTTTTTCATCCTCGAACGGTCGACTGAATAGTTAGAGTCCGCCTCTACTATCACTCAGTCCTCCACGAGCGCGTAGCAAAAAATACTTTACTGACCTCGGCTCATACTGGTTCGCCGTATACTTCAGTTATATTTTAATAAAAGTTAGTGTGAAAGTTATAATTTTATAGTATACCCTTTTTTCCGTTTTTAATCTTTTTCGGCCGGGTCCATAACTAAGTTGTTTACGCGCGCACCAATATCCACCACGGTATTGGTACCCGAGGATCCTTTAAAATTGTTAAGTTGTTTTACGTGCACGCCACTATCCGCCACGGTAGTGGTACCATCGGAGCAATAACTACTCGGATTAGAGCGAAAATCAGTACTCGCGACGGTATTAGTACATCCGAGTCAGTCTCAAGTTAAATTGCCATTTACCCCCACGTAACCTCTAGAAACGAAACTTTTTCCCGTAACGGTGCCGGTATCGTCTAGATCGCGGACGAGATACCCTTCGGTACGCCGCTCTGGATAAAATCGACTAACTTTAGGCGCACCGCGCGCAAGGTAAGTGCATCGGGATATTCCTTGCATAATAATCGCTTCAAGTTGTGTTAAAACAGTCGTAGCCTCTTTGCAAATATCGTGTCGTTAGTTAGAACTACCCCTTCAGCTCCATGTCCCATTTACGTGCCCAGCGTGTGTCCTGAGTTATTAAGCGAAAGCTTAAACTCGAATAGTACGTCGCGCCGACGTAACACTATCTATTTTTAATTTATTACAAAAATGTAGTAAATGAATGCAATTTCCAAATGTTTCATTACGACACAATCGCTGCTCATTTTTTTCAAAGGAAACTCTTAAATTTTATTCAAAAAAATCTGAAAGAGATTTAAAAAATAATTGATATATTAGATGACGCTAGCAGACAGAAAAAAAAAAAAAGAACTTTATTAAGCTCACTTATGATTTTCAAGATTTTGAGATGACAGCTGAGTGGCACTCTTTTCCTACATTACATGGTCAAGGTCTATGTGCAAATGGGATCAGAGGAACTTTAAAACAACTTTCTGCTAGGACTGTCTGCAAGAGTTAAAAACCCTATTCGTGCACCAAAAGAATTCTTTGATTGGCAACAGTATTTCTAGCAAACATAACGTGTTTGTAACGTAACGAAGAAGAAAAATTATTATTAGCGCGCTTTGAAGAAGCTGTCACGGTAATAGGGAACTCTAAATAACCATCGTTTGATTCCGACTCTACAAGAATTAGGATTGTCGTTGTATAAAAAAATGTGAAAATTTTAATATGAAATATATAACACACCCAAAATACATATTGTTCATTTTTTATCCCATTGTTTATAAAGCCTTATTCATTCATGAATACTATAATATACTTAGCAAGATATTTCCGACTAATAATATAATATAAAAAAAAAAAAAAAAAAATAATACGAAGTGACAAAAATGTGGCGTGTATTGCAACCAGCAAGCTGACAGGACCTATCGCACTTGTTGATTTTTTTTTCTCCAACAGAAACATTTATTTCTCTATCGTTTAAAAAGCGTTTTCGATTTGACGTAGAATACGAAGGTTACATATAAAAAGTCCTACGAAGTGGAGAACATTAAAAAAAAATGATTTTAACATTGAAAGTCTTCATTTTGAAATTTTTTATAACTTTTTTATTGTGTCTTTCATTTTTCTCTAATTCTATATGAATTTTTTCAAGATTTGAGCGTACACTATGAGTCTGTTTTGCTTCTAAATATGAAATTGTTCGTGTGGAGTTGTAAAGATTATTTATATTCGTATTATTTTATCTNAAAAAAAAAAAAAATTTGAATACGTGTCTTTTTTTATACAGAACCCGTAAAAAACGTTTCAGACTACTTAAAGACGGGTAGGTCAGAAAGTGTTCGGCATATAAAAAAATTACCCACGTAGAATAGTTGAGTAAAACAATGTACGAGGTGTATTCAAAAAGTAAAGAGAATTTTTAAATTTCGCAGGTTTGGAGAGTCCGCCTGTATAAAATTTTTTTTTAATATGTTGGTACACATGCCCCTGAAGTACGACAAAATTTCCAGCAATATTCATTGCTTACTTTTTAAGTGGCAGCCGCTAACGTTAGACGTGTTTTTCGAGCTCGGCGATTTTCGTTTGTGAAAAAAAATGGATCAAAGAATTTGTATTCAATTTTACGTAAAAAATGAAATAAAATGTAGTGAAGTTTGTAAAATGTTAACAAAGGAATATGGTAAGTCTGCTATGAGTAAAGCAAGGATTTATGAGTGGTATAAGCCAAGATGGCCGCGAAAACATTGAAGATGATGAACGACCCAGACGCCCAAGCACATCAACAACCGATGAAAACGCGAATAAAGTGGCATAGCGCATCATGAATTCTCGCCACAAGGTCAAACAATCAATGAGGAGTACTACCTACAAGTTCAACGCCGTTTGCGTGAAGCAATCCGAAAAAACGCCCGGATTTGTGGCAAAACAATTCATGGCTTTTGCACCACGATAATGCACCTGCTCACACTTCGTTTCTTGTTCGTGAATTTTTGGCCAAAAACAAAACTGTAACGATGCCTCAGCCTCCACATTCGCCAGATATGGCTCCATGTGACTTTTTTCTATTTCCAAAAATAAAGAGAACATTAAAAGGCTGTTGTTTTACAAGCATACATGATATTAAAAGCTAATCGCTGAAAGAGCTAAAAGCTATTACAAAGATCGAGTTTCAAAAGTGTTTCGAGGATTGGAAAAAGCGTTGGCACAAGAGTATTATATCCGAGGGAGATTGTTTTAAAAGGGACAAAATAGATATTGATGAATAAATAAGTATTTTTTTCATAAAACGAAAATTCTCGTTATTTTTTTTAACACACCTCGTACATCCAGAAGTATTTGAATTTAACATCACATTACTTATTATGGCGCATGGTGACTAAAAGTTGATGTTGTAATTTGTGTACTTCAAATCAGAATGAACTAGTCTTGCGTGTACTTATTTGCTCTTTTGCTGGGTGTTTAGTTTTTATTTTCCACAGCAAAATGAGAAATCTGACAGTTACTTCGAAAAATAATTGCAATATTTTTTAACGATTTTGTAACTGTTAGAATTCTTTGTCATTTATTGCCACTTTTATGTGGCGTTTTGAAGAGCTCTATGAACAGCATTTTTTCTAACTGTTATGTACCATTTTCAATTCTTCCACGCGTTACTTTTATTGATTAAAGTTCAGTGCTTGATATCTTATCTTAAAACTGATTGTCACACAATTAAAGCCTTTTTATTCGTTATGTGATTGGTTAAAACTGATCGAGTGTATTGGTTGGTGTATTTTTACTAAAATTAATGGCATTGAATTGCAAAAAAATAAAAATGGAATAAACTTATCATGTAGATGCAATTAAAAGTAACTTCACCGAATTTGTTTAAGCTCTAAACAAAAAGTTTTAGGACAAAAACTTTATTTGATTAAAGATTGGACGAAATAAAAGTCCACGTAATATTTCTTACATTAATTATACTACGCCATATGAATTTTTATTAGAAACAATATTTTAAATTATTACGGAATTATTTTTGGGATAATATGGAATTTTAACTATAAGTTATTTAAAAAAAAAAATTTGCGTAATTAGTGTCAACATAAATATTGCAATAGTAAGATTCAGAGTCTTAATGTGTAAGCTTAGAAAGACCAAAAATGAGCTTAACTGAGTTTTCTTTTTGTACTGTAGTGTGCTGATTAAATAATAAAACTGAGTATAAAAGTAGTCCCAATAAGTCAGATCGCGCGAAGCGCATTTCACATAACTAGTAATAGAAAAATGAAATAAATAAACTGTTAATAACAAAATATTTATTTTCTCACTAGTAGAACTTAACATACTTAATAGTATTTATTTAATTAACTAGTTCTTCAATTTTCCTCCTTTGTTGCTCACACCTTTTCCAATAGAAACAGCACCTCTCCCACCTCGGCCACCAAACGTACCTATAAAAAAAAATTTTTTTAAGGTAAAGATTCAATGTAAAGAATGTCACTGAATTTAAATTTATTATTGTTATTTTTTATTGCCTGACAATATTTACAGCTATAACAAAGTTCTACTTCCAAAATATTATTTATAATACAAGCACAATCTTGGATCAAAGTCAGATTAGGGTTTCAAGACTATCTACGGACGTTCTATTAGATAAGAATGGACTTGGCCCTTAAATCTTACTGTATTTAAGTTTTTTTATGGTATTTTTTCTACCCTACTCACCAATGGAGTAATTTTTACGGGCACTCTTTACTATTAAATAATATTAAGCATATCCTTCTGTGTCCATCAGCGGCACATAATTGGAAGAAATGGAAAAATCTATCAAGGCGGGCATAATGAGCAAACTCGGCAACTCAGTGTCTTCAGCAGTTGCAAATGCATTGAAATGCATGTTAAGAGCCCTCAAGCTAGTACTTTAATGAATTAATCATGCCTATATTTCATGCAATCCGTTGCGAATCGAGACAGAGAAATTACACTTTATGGTCACGAAAGAGTGTATTAATGTGCATAATTTAACATGTAACTTTTCTCTTAGAGTGATGCATCGAGAGACATGAAATTTGTACAGGATCTCTAAAATGAAAGTACAAATGCGGCTCTACTCAAAATTTTTGTATGTATTGAGTTTCAAAAATAATTTTATCTTTACCATAATCAATACAACATAAAAACTTCTACCTTACTGATCACCTCACTTTGGTGAATTACTATTATTAATTAATTAAAAAGTTATTTCTATGTGAAACAAAGAGAAGACCCACAACTCTGATTCTCTAAGGAATAAGTTAAGCTTCAATTTACTGTAATCCATTGCGAGTTGTGAGAAAAGTTACGTTTCGCAATCTTAAAAAAGTACTTAAGTACTAATTATATAAAATGTAACTTTTCTAACGAAGTAAATGCATTAAATAGTCTGAAATACAAACAGGACTTCTAAAATTATATGACGAACGTGGGTCTTCTCATGGTTTTTTTGTAAATAGTCAGTTTCAAAACTCAAGTTGACATCACTAGTAATACATAACCTATAAAATCGCACATGTCGAGTAATTTCATTTTTTAAATTGAATGTTCACAAAATCCATAAGGAAATCCACGTTTGTCTAAATTTCAGGCCATTCAATGCATTACTTTTTATAAAATCTGTACTTTAGTACTCTTTCATGATTGTAGAATTTTCTCCTTGAATTTGCGATGGATTGCAATAAATATGGGCTCCAAAGACTCCTAAAATCACCAGATTGTCTTCTCGTTGTTTTACATAAAAATAACTTTTGTTTCACCTAAATTCGTTGGCGCTAGATTGGACCGATATTTATCAAGAATATTTTTACATTCTCTCGATATTAAATTTTATTCACGGAGTGACTGAAAATCACAACTTATTGGGTCACATAGCCTAAGTCTGACTATAAATATCCGTGGTCGGTAGTGTCAGTTACTGTACCAGCCTACAGCAGCATACCTTGCGTATTTATATCGTCATTTTTACTGCTTTTAAGGAATAACCTTAATTTTAATAGTATTTTAGCTTCAAACTCATTCGCTTAGGTTATACTAAAAGATTCAACAGTGACTACTATTTTTTTCAATCGTACCTTTTATATTTATATAGTGTCCATACAAACGAAGAGGACCAGGTTGCCAGTTTTTGCCACGATGCAGAGCGCTGCATGTCATGTACCTGGCGAAGAGAGCTGGCGGTTGGAAAGCTCAGCTCGGAAGGCACTATCGAGAAAAGTCTCCAGTCAATGGGGTACAGGATTCCAGAACAAAAAAGATGTCTATATACTCTTGTGCAGCGCCATGTTTTAAAAAGATTTATACAGATATACTGTCTATTGAAAATCGGAGGCTTTTCTTTCTAGCATCTTTTAAGCTGAGCATTATAACTCATCAGCCTTATAAAATAAGGAGTCCACCACGAGATATGTAAGCCATGTTTTCAATCAATACATATTACAAATACACAAATTTTTACCTTTTACTATGTTCCATAGTAAAACTAAGATTGTCTGTACATATTTACTCAGCTCTAATGAATGCAAGCCATTCAATAAATATATTTTTAGGAATAAAACATAAACTTTTATCAGTATATTATCCGCAAAGACGCATTAAAGTTGGGATTATTAATTCTGTACATTTGATAATATTCATTTCTTTTGTATCACGCACGGCTTTAAGTGCAACTAACTGTATTAGATTATACATTAACGCTAACACAAATGTAGTTTCCTTATTCAAAAATACCAATGGACTAACAGTTCTTCGGATTATCTACTAGCATTTTGTTCTGTTTTCTGTGCATTAATCATATAAAAATCTGCATGTAAATGCCCTTACGTGTAACGATGTGAACCCTATAATTCTACTTTTAGTAGTGGTTTGCTCAGAAGGATTTACTTTATATCTATTGTCTCAACAACAAGTTCTGCTAAACGCAGTAACATAAACTTTTTTGACATCTTTGCGTTGACAATTTCCTAGTCATAGTCAGACAGAGCGGCGTGCCAAACATCTGCGCATCAAGGTAAAAAAGAGTAAATATAGACACTTCTGACTAATGCAAACATTAAATCTTACTTAAAAAAAAGTATAATTTCTAAGAGTACAAAAACTAATTTCAACGTATGAATAAAATTTCTTTTCATTGAGTAAACGAAAGAAATTGTAGATCTTCTTTTTGGATTTGTACGTAATTATAAGGTTAACATCAGAGATAAGTATGGAGATTACCAGTGTCTATGGTATAGAGTGTGTTGCTTTTTTTCCACTGATTTGAGCGCAACGTCGTCGTCGCAGAACAGTCGAACTATACGCACGTTTTTAGCAGCGGAGGGAAAGACCAAAATGTGCGTACGGAAAGTACCTCATGTAAGGGGAAGGAATATGCGCGTATACATGGGTATAACTATATATGTTTTGGCTGACTCTTGCCTAAGCTCTCAGGCCTCTCGGTTCTCAGCTCTTGCTGTAGCTAGCAGCTTTCGCATGCATGTATATAATGTACTATTCGTGCATTTGATATGATATGAAATATATTTACAATCACTCATTGTTGGAATCTCCGTATCAGACAAATTAAAATTTCTTGTAATTTTGGCTACAATGAAAGTAAAAGAATTTCCTTTATCTGATAGTTTTTGGTAATAAAATTAAATATTTTGCTGTCGTTTAACAAATGAACATGGAAAATTTATGCGTAAATTATTAAATAAAATTTACTTTATTTTTCATTATTCAATTCTATAAATGATACAAGAGGCTAATGATAATTCAAATAAGAAAAACGTATGTTTTTTATGTAATTTTTTCAATACATCTTGAAACCAGTGAAAGGTGCTTGGATACCCAAGTCAGAAGTTATACTTCTATAAAATTATATGGCAGATAATAGAATTATAAATATAAATATACCTTCTATGAAACAAAATTGTGTACAAAAGTGGTGCATTATCGTTTAAATAAGTATACGTACGTTACTTGTGTGTAGTTTCAATGAATATTGTAATATTTAATAACTAAACAAACATAAACAATATGTTATGGCATAATACAATATAAGGAATATGGAGGCTGGCCAGTACAAGACTGTGCACTTTCTTCGAATCTTCCAATGGTTTCAAAACAACTTTCTTCTGCCTACACTGATTACATCTGTAACGTTACGCTCACATTTATCACACACGCTCATACTTATTCCTACTCTATATTTGATACCCAAAATATAATTATATCTCAAAAATTAAAACAAACAATCCTATAGTATCGCTTTCTTCAATAGCATAGTAGTATGTGCCAGTGAATGTCCCTTTAGGACGTTCATCACACATGAGTTTATGAGTTTTCTTGACAGATATTATTCAAGCATCAAAAGTATACTAAAAATACCATTAGAAATACCCAAAAAACATTGCAGATCGTTTAACTGTACATTTTTTTACATGTTTAATTTTAAAAAACTTACAATGTTACATGTAATCTAATGGAAAAATCACTTAAAATTGCATTCATAAAATCTGTATGGACCTCCTTATTTTTGTTTGTATGAAAGATTACTGTTAGATAAACTTGTTTTATTTTCAAATAGATCCATAATTTTTTTTTTTTTTTTCTTATACAAGGAAGAACGGATTAAGTATGCGTAAAAGCATGTATGCGAGTACATTCATATGAGAAAAATAATTTCCAATGTCCCTGCACTAATTTACGCTCCTTCCACCTATTTGAATTTTGAGCTGAACTTTTCCCCAACTAACAATGTGAGAAACGTCCTCAAGTCAAAAAATTACTTTAATTCCAAAGGAAAAATTTTAAAAGAAGAAAACGCAATAAAAATCAACTATTGTATCTATACAGTACAAAAATTTTTTTTTGTGATCATAAAAATTTTGAAAAAATGTCAAAAAATTGTATGAACAATGATTTATTTACTTTTAAAGTAACAAAGTAACGATAACTAAATAAATTTTTATCAATACACATGAAAGCTACTCTACTAATATATACTAATTTCCAAATTTTCGACAAAAACGTGTACTTAAAAAACATATTTTTTGCATAAATTATTTTTTTATTTAGTTTATAATCAAACAGAATGAATTAATACACAGTAAATAAAAATTTACATTAAAAATAAATAACAAACTGCATCGATTTCCTTATATTGAGACCGGTCATAACAGAGTGGGTAAAGTGTGAAACCGTTGACTTACTCTGTAGGGCAGAACGCACCCATAGAAGTATAACTTCGTAAACAGCATCAATAGTAGTTTCGTTCTTTGTTGTCACTTCTTTTGGATCATTGTTTATTTATAACTAAAGTTCTGTACTTAATAAGTCTATCGAAAGTCAAGAATCTTCAGATACAAAATGGACGTTGAAGTCTCCTGCTAAAATCGTGGGTAGTGTATGTAAATTTTCATTTAGTAATTGTAAA